AAACGGAACCATTTTTAGTTCATTGACGTTTTTAGCCCATAATATTTACATCGAGGGGCGTGTGATAGACTTACCTCCACGTGGTCCCCCCTGGGAAACGTATACTCATTTGACAAAAAAGTCTATTAACCGGCAGTTGATTTCTGACTTCTAACTACCATCACCCCACTATATGTCATATTCAACCACTTCCTCAGTACTCGCCTCACCTTTTTCGGACTTTATGTATGTCTCTTTTACATCTTTGAAACACTCTTCTGTCCCCCCTCTCGACTTTTTGAGACTTTAATGTTCCCCCTCCTCCACTATGAAGCCTGAAGTCAGCTAAAGGGCTAATGATAACTATCAAAACGCCTGTCATTTGAAATAAATAAATGAATGAATTAAAATAAAAGAGAAAAGTGAGGACTTGGGCTGGATCCAAAATTAGAGGTCCAACACCAGCGTTTATACCTTTAAATACCAATTCTTAATAATTTGCCTCGATTCACGCACACACACACATATATTTGCCGACACGATATAGCATCATATGGGGTGTATAGACACTGACATTTATTTCTACCTTGTGGGAAGTATGCCGAAAAATATAAAACCCGATGAAAAGAATCAGTGGGCAAACAGATAGTTCATTCTTTTTTCATTCCATTCACACATGAAGTCCTCGGCTTCTAGAACCGAACGCCTAAAGGCAAATTACCAAATTTTGGGAATGTTCCCTAACTAATGTGTGTAGTATTTTATGGTTAACGTGGGAGAGGTAATCACAGTTTTTTTGTAAATCTCCACTAATTTTTCATTGAAGGATGTGCCTGGCTATTACCATTGCACACATTGAGGCAGGAAGTAGCAATGGTTGATTACGAAAATCAAAGGAAATCGATTAAATGAAAGTCAATCAAGTGGTAAAGTATATTTATCGAATGGCAGGCGTCTTGATGGTTATCATTAGTCCTTTAGTTGACTTCAGGCTTCACAGAGAGAAGGAGGAACACCAAAGTGAAAAAAGCCGAGAGGGGAGGGAGGGAACAGAAGTGTTCCAAAGAAAAAGGTAGAAAAACGCAGAAAAAAGGTGGATTGAGTACTGTGGAAGTAGTCGAATATAACATACAGTGGGGTCAATTTAGTTTGAAGTCAACTGCCAGTTTATAGACTTTTTTGCCGTATGAATATACGTTGCCCAGGGTACATCATGTGGAGGTAAGTCTATCCCACACCCCCAAATGGTAAAGTATGGTGATCACTAAAGGGTTCCCGGCGGGGGGGGGGGAGTTTCGAGTTATGGAAAACACTAACCCAGTTTCATCGTGCTTTAAGAATTTACAATATTCACTTCAAGGGGTAATTCGTGCGCCAAACCCGCAGGTTATATGATACGTGCCCTGAAATGAAGCTATTCCACGTCCAAGATATCAGATGTTTATTAACATTTTTTATATATGACAATCAATTTTGCCACTCCAGTTCATTTGGTTTTCAAAAGTCGAGAAGCCAAAATGAATTTCCATTAATTCAGCCACCATCAGGCTTATAACATAGCATCCAGAGCTGGCTTAAAGCTAATCATCTGATCGATTTGTCTATAAATTCCTTCTATTTTGGTCTAGTCATTATAAAACAGGGACATTTTTCATTTAATAGGAAAATTTGCGGACAGGTCAGGTTTTATATTCCTTCTAATGAAAGAAAATAATTAAAAAATATAAACTAGACCATTTGAATCTAGCTATAATAAGTATGCTAGTAAGTGAATACCCAGTTTTATTCAAGGAGCATAAAAAGCCGACTGACTTCCTGTTGCAATTATTAAAATTTATGCATGTCTGTCACTGGTGTTCTGATTTTTGGCTGAAATGAATTATTCCCACTCTTAAAGCAATCAAATGCCAAGAGCAATTCGATTATTTCTGCTATTTAAATTCCCCTTTATTTTATAAATATTAGTGGGAGTTGATTAATCTTCCCAATCATAGCAAACAAGGAGCAGGTAGAGAGATAAACGGAAATGTGAATAAATCAATTATTCGGTTTCAACCCAGATCACTACCCCATTTTAGACAATCGAAGCAAGACGCCCTGTCTATATTTAATAAATTAGTCGCCTTAAATTGAAATTTTACGTTCGCATTATTTTTTCGTATGAACTTGATCCGAAAAAAATCAAATTAATCAATTGTGATTTCACTGAGCTTAGGTGAGCAGCAGTTGATGTGTATCCGTGAGGGTTCATGAAAGCTTGGTGATTAAAGCTAATTATAACTAGAAATTATGAGGGTTATACATTGGCATGTCCTTTCGAACGGGTTTCAGGGTAACTTCTCCCTGCCCCGAATGAGTTTATTTGCTGAAGTTAGAAGGAACAATGTCTATAATGCTCCGATCTAAAGCATATTGAAGTTTTCAGGCCTAAAATGTGGGGAGGTGGGGGGGGGGGGGTAGCATATCTTCCGTCTGCATAAATACCATGAGATGCTTAAAATGCCCTTAATACAAATTGTTAACAACCTCTGCTGAAGAAACTACATTGTGAGTCTCTACATGATCTGTCCAATGCGTGATTCACCATTTATAGCGACAAGAGAGGGGTGAAATTTATGTTCACATTTGAAGCGTATATTTATCTTGAAAAATTTCAAAGTCAAACGAATCAACACAGAGATGACCAAATTAAGTAATTACTTATTTTAATAACTTCACCTGTTATTGATTGACTAGGACGATTTGTCATTAAAGCAAAAGCATAATTATTATAAAATTAATTTGACCAAATTATCAATTGATAGTATCAGTGGATATTATCAGTATGGCTTCGAAGCACTTATTCCTGCTAAATTGAGCCTGAGTAAATAATATGCAATTTTTGCCCACTTTCTGAATGCACTAAGAGCGTTTTTACTGGGAAAAATAGAAGTGGACTAAAATAACAACCTCACCAGCCAGTAGAGTAGACTAATATGAGAAGCTCGAGCTTCAGACATAGCCGCACACTAACAGTCCCATGATGTGCCCTTTACTTTTCCTAGACTGCATTTCCATCTTCCATACTCTTATTGACCTTTATGATTTTGCATTTCATATTACATTCGCAAAAAGGTGTCCCTTAAAAATGCCTATTTAGATATAACCTTTCTGGTGTCAAAAACATCACTGAAACGTGATTTTCCTATCCTGATCAAAACGGAAAAATCAGAGACCAAGCCACAAAAAAAGGAGCTTTAGCGACTATATGACCTTGAAAGGCTTGTGACATTTAGATCCCGAGTCCGAACACGTGATAAACCGCCTTTGTGAACCGTGCATGATTAGCTCTTCTCTGTGATTTAGTCAATACATTTACAGGATGCTATCTTACCAGAAGAAAAAAGCAACGCAACTTCGACCTGAGAAGTTTGAGCTATGTTTCCAACTGTTTATTTGGCAATTTCCTTTCGTATCTTGAATTTATTAGCGCACAACCACTACATACTCTCATATTCAACTTCTGAGTATTTTTAAGAGTTTCTTACCAGTAAATTTGGTCCTTTCCAAAAGTAATTTTATCCTCCCAAAACAGAAATTCTTGTCTTCACTCTAAATAGGGGCCTCTTGCCACTTGATACAGAATACCAGTGCCAATAGAAATATATTTTAAATGCATATTTAGAGAAGCATAATAATACAAAGCCCCCATTTTATTGGACACCAGAAATAAATTCAACTCAAAAAAGCAAAAAAATGTGTACGTACGCATTAACTAGGTATTTATTATAAGAAAACAGGGGAGTATAAAAAGGTTAAATAAAAAGAGAATAGAAACAGAGCGTTGGAATCTTTAGGAAGCAATAATTCGCTTTCTAATGCCATCTTCCTTCCCAGCCCGTTTAACCTGAGAGCGAGTAGTTGGACCCTTCCTCTCCACAACCTCTCGCTTGCTGGAAACTGCCTTAGCCGATGTTTCATCTTTCATCCAACACATTAGACACTTTAGAATGAACAAATTGATCATAAGGAAGACACAAGAGGCCGCCCAAAGGCCAAGCCATAACTTGCGTTCCCAATAAGGCGGTCCGACCATTTCGTGTAGGTAGGCGAAGAGGAGCCAGAAGGCCTGACCCATGAACCAGAGAACGGCCAGCCAAAAGCCACGATTGACAGCGTTGGGAGAGAGACCAATAGTTTGAAAAAGGTTACAAAGTCCACCCACTTGACTTGGCGGTGATCGAATGTGAGCCAGAGCTGGAGGAAGGAGAACTAGCCACCAAAGGAAGTATTGTGATGTGCATACCTAGAAGGAATGCAAAAAAAATGGCAATTTAAAAATCGAATAATTCTACTTTAAGACACGTTTTCAGCTTTCACTGTTGAGCATAATTTTCCATGTGATTTAAGCAATAATCCACTTCATATAAAACAAAAAAACTCTCCTATAATTGACGAAGTAAATAGAATCGGATTCGATTGAAGTGATTGCTATTACACATAACAAGGCGGAACGGAATGCAAACTCGAAAATTGGCAGAAAAAAGAGGGTGTGAGCAAGTAGTAGGGAGCAGTCATGATACCATTTATTTGCACCAGGTTGTCAATTTTACACTTATAATGGGAGGAGCATTTCACTGCGCCAGGTACAAATCTTCCAAGGTCTCTTTGCAGCCGAAGTCACATGTATTGCACCTCTTTTGTTTCGCTAAAATTGTACGCAAGCATTGGATGCTAGCTGAAACACGTCAGACGCCAATCAATTAAAGGGTCGCCAATATAGTGGAATTTCTGACTAACTGGACCACGCAAAATAACGAATATCACGTAAATTGCATTCAAATAAATAACCATAAAGTAGAGAAATTTGGTTACACCAACCCCTCCCTTGAACTGATAATCATCAACGGATGAAAAGTTAGCAAATTAAAATTAAAATAGATGTAGAAAAAGAATACAGACTTTCCCAGTCTCCATGTCAACAAAATTGCTAATCAGAATCCAATTTAAAACATTCCTGTCCTAATTTTTTTCATTAGCATTAGAGGGTGAAATAAAATTTGGAGGTGACTTCAATCTTAATTAAATAAATCAGTATTTAGACCAATGCAATTTCTGAAAATAAGTAGAGCATTCGATAATATCAAGTGAGAAGTGGAACTTTTGAAAAGAACAGGGGAAACAGACATACAGCGGTGGTGTTTTATCACTGCCAATTTAAATTAGATAACTCTGATTTTGTTAGAAAATGTGACGGGCAAATGCCTTCTGTCAATCCTGATGACAGGTGAAAAGAAAGAAGTGAAGATTGATAGGAATTGATTGAAAAGCGCAAAATTTTTACCCCATCACTACCGTTGAAAAAAAGATGACAAACGAACAGCAATAATATTCTACGTCTACTTATTACCATTGCCTTTTTTAAGGTTGACCTTTTACTATAATTTCAACAGAGTATCCTTTATTCGGTTAATATTAAGTCAAAATAGATAATTTTAATTAGAAAACAGGGAATGTATATTTAAATAGAAAATCCAGAAAATAGTAATATTAAGTATTAATCAGAATTCTTAGGCATTATTCCATGTGTACAAATTTCCAAATGATTGGTTTTCGTGCCGTATTTAATTAATCACAGCCAATCGTATTTTCATAATAAGCTACCTTACTTGATTTGCACGTCGACTCTTTTCTTTCTGCGTGAACTGAGCAACTCCAGAAATAGTGAACAACCCAAAACATTGCTACGGCTGTTTAGATTGCGCTAGTGACTACCATATAATAAAAGTATTCATTCATAATTGTCCTCCTTCTAACTTCTTTGCGATGAAGCTCATAGAAGCTTAAAGCGCCTTATTTTGTCTAGTTTATTTTCCAAATGGTTCTTAGTTACGGTATCCGACCAGCGTATTAGTGCGCCGATATATGTTAGGAAAATACAAAGCAAAGGATAGAGATGCGAGGGAGATAGAAATTGAACACGACGTCAATTCAAGCTTTCATTGCCTTCGTTTCAAAGTACGCAATATCATTAAAATATAGTAGGTGGGAGAGATGAGGGAGTGGAGACGCGTTAAGTACTCCGTGACTTTTATTACCGCCAAAGTACACGAAGAGCAGAAGTTGCACTTATTTTATACATAAAAAATGCCTTTGATGCTGCCGCCTCAGAGAACCAAGTGAGAGGGAGGCGGGGGGGGGGGGGGGGGNAGCACTGAAGATGATTAAAGTTAAAAGGAGAAGAAAATGAGCTTGGTTAAGAAATAGTAAATCCTTATTAATTTTTTTATTGGCTACTCCTGTGGAGTAAAACAAACTAAATAGGAAGGGACACGTTGGATTTATCAATCAAAAAAGTGGAAATAAATAAAGAACGAAAAAATTAATTATTTTTGTCGAAATAGCCATAGTTATGGTAACAGGCTCGTGGATCAGTGTTCGACGTGCTAGACGTTGAGGGAATAAAGCTAAGCGGCGCAAATCCAGTGACATGGATGACTAACCGGTAACCGGATAATTCTGGTCAACAACAACAACAACAAGTGGTAGAAAAATTCCTCGTAATAACGCCAAAACATACTTTAGCAGCACCCAAGTCAAAACCTGTCTCAATGGACCTGAAAGTGTAACTATTGCTAGTTTCTTCAATATCCCATTATTAAAAAAAACATATCTCGTATTTTGCAAACCACCAAAAAGAATACAAAAAACGCATAACATAAGACCTGAAAGCGAAACAATTGCTGAGGTAAAAAAAGAGCACTTTTAAGGAGCAACGAGACTGAAGTCGACAGTTCGAAACTCGTGTTGAACGGATCTCTACGTATAACACGCACACACGCGCGCATCAGTAATGCAGTAGTAAGAACACTTACTTTAAGATCAGATCGAAGACCACAAATATACATCCAGTCGGTGGAATGATTACATCTACCTTAAAAAGGGATGGCAGAATTTAAGCTTCTCGGAATGAAGGCTAGACTCAGCCCCTCCCCTTCCCTTCACTCCTGCCCAAGATAAGCGTTTATCAACGCTTTCAAAAGTTGGATAAGGGGTTGCTCGCTTCACTTTAACTATATTGTTGACACAAGTTCATTGAAGTGAAATCTTTAGCATTTTCATGAAAGTTGTGACTTTTAGTGCGTAGAGAGGGGTGACAGCACAAGTGTTTCAAAGCAAAAAAAGAGAGAATTTTCCTGCTTTAGATTGGCTGTCTGTGTTGCTATAGGGATTATATTTTATAAACACTGGCAAACGTTCAGAGAAAACAATATCTTCGTCATTCAACAATAGATTACTAAACTGAATAACACATCTTCATGATCGATAAAGAAATTAATTTTAATCTGCCAGCAGAGCCAAAACAACAAAGGCAAAAAACATAAGTTTAACTAATCTTTGCGTTTAATTATCTTAACTGAATGGGGTGTGCGATAGGCTTACCTACACGTGGTGCACCCTGGGCAACGTATACACATACGGCAAAGAAGTCTATTAACCGGCAGTTGACTTCTGACTTCAAACTATCATAACCCAACTGTATGTCATATTCGACCCCTTTCACAGTACTCATCTCATCTTTTTTCTACCTTTGTATCTGCCTTATTCTTTCATATCTGTTAATCTTTATTCTGTCCCTCCTCTGGACTTATTGTCATTTTGTTGTTCCTCCTCTCTGTGAAGCCCGAAATCAACTAAAGGGCTAATGATAACTATCAAAACGCCTGCCATTTGATATAAATAAATAAATCTCAACTGAAATACAAAAATCCATAGAGATGGACGGACACACCCAATTTTGAGAACGACGAAAATTTAAGTAGGACAAAGTTGTCAGTGAGAGGAAGGAATTTGGTCCCAATTCCTGGCATATCGTGTTTTAGATTTCCAGCCACTTTAAAAATAAGGCTATAATGGGGCTTACTTTTCATTTGTAGTGTCAAAAATTAAGTAATGATGTAATACCTCGTTTTATTACACTAAGAATTTCAACTGAAATATTGCCGGTGTGCTTATTTAAATTGATATGTATAGTCAATCGATTGGCAAAAAAACGTATGGGACATATTTGCACTTCTGAATAATATAAAGGGGAAAAAATAAAAAAATGGAACACCAATAGTAACTAGCATGATTTTTCGTATATTTGTTTGGCATTACAAACAGTAGAGACAAGAAAAATGTGGACACACAAAGACATGGAAATTACCCCTAAATTTCTGGGATAGCAATAAGTTAATTTAATTCCCATCAAATTATTTCCTCTGAGAGAGGAAGAACGTAGGTAAAATAAATCCATTCAAGAAGCAAACACACACACTTTTATGGTCGGAGTCGTTGAAGTTCTCTTATTTTACCCTCAAATGGAGGTATTACTCTTATTACCCAGGTCTTTGACTCGCATATTGGCCGATCATCTCCTAAGTGGTCAATAAATTTGCTACATATCAAAATAAAAGGTCCAAATAGTAGCGTGAATGTTGGAAATACCTAAATAAATAAGGAAGAATTTAAATTAAAAGAAACGAGGAGAGAGTAAATTCCTTATGCATTTGCTTCTAAAAAGAGACAATAAGCCATCATGAATTCGCCAAATGCTATCTATTTAATAAAAGTGCCCCCCCCCCCAACAACAAAAATGGCCAAAAGTATTTAACATTATTGTGGAAGTTCAACAACAATTCAAATTACCCCTCGATTTAACTACTTGAATAAAGAGAGAAGCGCGCATGTTGAATATAATGGGAAATAAAATTATAATCAGTAAATTTTATTCTATGGACAAATAATGAGGGAAAATAATTTCGTGATTTATTATTCCCATTCGCCTGGAGTGAATTGAGCAAGAAGAATGCTATCAGCCTAAAAATATTTACCCATCTAATTTCTACTGGCTTACGACTGTAAGTTTCTAACTACCGAATAATATATTTATCTCAAACGGTAGGCGTTTTGGCAGTTATCATTAGCCCTTTAGTTGACTTCGGGATTCACAAAGAGGAGGAGGAACATCAAAGTTATAAAAAGTCGAGAGGAGGGGACAGAATAATGATTCACAGATTCAAAAGAGACAGATAGACACAAAGGCAGAGAAAAGGTAAGGTGGGTACTGTGAAAGTGGTGGAATGACTTTCAGTGGGGTGATGGTAGTTTGAAGTCAGAAGTCAAGTGCCAGTTAATAGACTTTTTTTGCCGTATGAGTATACGCTGCCCAGGATGCACCACGTGGAGGTAAGTCTATCGCCTGCTATCGAATAATATCGTTTAGCAAGATCGATCATTATGATTAAACACTAACCGGACAATGGGCACTTGAAATTATTGACACAATCTGCAGCAATTCGGAAAACCAATTATAGAATTTGAATTTTGCACATAATATGAACCACCACAGTACAACTTGATTAAATCTCATCTTTATATATATATATATATATACTTGACGACGGGGAAAAGCAACTTTAAACAGGCAATTTTGTTTCGAGCGGAGTGAGTGTCATGTGGCAAAAACTATTGGGACCAAGGCAGTAAAAGCATGAAGTAAGTAAGTAAGCAATGACAAAGAAAAGCTAAACCTCTACAATCGGAAACCAAATAGCGAACAAGGAGTACAATTTAGCTAGCTCTAATTGATTAGAAAATTGGTAAGTGGGTTTAATTAAGACCAGTTATCCTTTCATGCGCCACAGCTACCTAGACCCAAGAAAAGGCCCATGCTTGGCTTCCCAATAATTGCAGTGACGCCTTCACAAGCGGTCTTACACATCCACGTGTGAGAGTGGAAACCCGATCAAGCCCACAATCCAGTCCATGAGAGTTGAAACCCTCGAGTTGCGCTCGAATGGACAGAAAGCATTTAATTAAGATTCCTAACAGTAGAAGAACCTCCACTATATCTATGATAGGAAATTGACAGAAACGACTAATGACCCCGTAGGCCCTGGAAAGAAAGAGTTATTTAAAATTTACCTTACCGATTACTGATTGCACCTATCCGTTTATCCCCCTTTATTGTTTTAAACAAAATAGAGAGGGGAGAAGAATCAGAAAGCCCACCACCTGATTTCAGTCTCAGGGCTAACACAATTCCTAATGTTAAAATTTAAATCAAAATTAAACAATTGCACATTTGGTGGAATTCATCTATTTCATTCCATTTCCAGATGTCTTTTCCAATGGCTTCTGCCGAAAAAAAAACAAAAATACCTAAATGCGCGAATAAATCAAAAGTGAAACGCAGGTGTTAACATTTTGATTAAATAGTGATGCACATCGAAAATGGAACTTAGTTAACAGTTATATATTTTGACATTAGAGTGATTACTAGCCCCTCTCCTGAAAGTTGGTTATGTGAAGGGTAAGTCTATTAAGTCGGAAATCACGAGTTGGAGAGAATGGCGGTGGAAGTGATTAATAATGTAGGCTTTTTATTGAGGCATCAAGATTCGATTGGAAAACACTTACTGGTGGCATAGGGTAGTAGTGAACATGTAAGCTAAATAATTCAACAAGCGCTTATTAATGCCCATCCAGTGATGCGAGCGTTCCGGCAGGGTTGTTCATAAGAGAAACTTCAGAATGCCTTCCCTCTTTCCGATATCGAACTTCCTCAATTGAGTTTCGAACCGTTATTAATAACTCGCCTTCGTTAATGCAATAGCTTATTCTGATAAAGATATTTTTTCCAAAATTAAAATACATAATGCGGATTTCGTAGACCTGAGAAAAGACTAATGAGAAGGAAACACAAGAGTGATTTACTCAATAAGGGTCGCTCATCTATCAACGAAATTTCACCTTGTTAAAAAACAATAAAATGCGACTTTTCCAATTGAGCGTGGAAATATTTATTTCAAATGGCAGGCTTTATGATAGTTATCAATAGATATTTAATTGACTTTGGGCTTCACAGAGGGGAGGATCATCAAAGTCACAAAAAGTGGAGAGGGGGAACAGAAGAGTGATTCGCAGATGTCAAAGTGACAGACACAAAGGTAGAGAAAAAGGTGAGGTGAGCACTGTGGAAGTGGTCAAATATGACATACAGTCAGTCAGTCAGGTCATGGTAGTTTGAAGTCAGAAATCAACTGCCGGTTTATAGACCTTTTTGACGAATGAGTAAACATTTCCCAGGGTGCACCACGTAGAGTTAAGTCTATAGCGCACCCCAGTGTGGATATATAAGGTAATTCATTTTTCCTTATATTGGCATATTACCGGGATTTTCCGAAAGTCCGCACTTATTTGGGGTTAGAAGTTAAAATGCATTCTTACAGCTTTTCTCGATTTGGGACTGAAACTTGACCCTCCCCATGGGCGCTTATTCGGGTGGCCGGTTATTTGGTTCCGAAAAATTAAATTTTCTGTTTAACCATCCTGGGTGGATTTTCGGAAAAACCCGGGTATATTAACTGCAATACAGTATCAACGGCATACTTTAAAGTAGCATCACCCATATTATCAATCATTTTGTGGGGGATCAAAGGTTCGAATTAGTCGTAAAATGGAGCAAATATGACACATATTTTGTAATTTTATGAACAAAACCAAAGCCTATCGGATCAAAACAACTTGTAAAACAACAGGCAGCACAGTATAAAAGTAACACTTTTGTGCAGTATTTATTATTGTATGGAATAACGTGGGATTTGAGTTTCAAAAGTACAATATAACTTTAATTACTCCTTTCGAATTTCTAAAAACCCACATTTTTGTCAAGATTTAAATTTCGGCTTATTAGCTTACTATCTTAACACCAAATAAATGTTTTCGCCTAAAATTTACCTTCACAGCAATGAAAAGCTTCCTAAGCAACTCTCGAATGACCACCACCATCCAGTTGGAGTGGTCATTTCAACGACTTGATTTGAATAATGGGCCGCAAACTGTATCTTGAGATTTAATAGAT